CTCATGTCCTATTCAGTCAATATGTTATCCTATGATTATAGCACGTTTTCTACTGATAAATGTAATTGGTAAGTTTTCTTTCAAATAATTATTTCAATTAATTATAATTTGTCTTTTATTTTAACAGATCAATTATTTGAGCATTATAATCAAAATCATAGTACAAATTTTAATAATTGGTGATCTTAAATTAAATATCAAAAAATTTCAATCATCATCAAGAAAAAGTCAACGATCAATAACAAGAACTAGAGATATTGGTACAAATGAACAACATCTTTCAATCACTATTTGACAAATAATGAATGATTTTATTTTCTATGTGAATCTTTATTTTTTAATGTGTTGATACGATATTTTAGATTTGTTTAGAACATAAAAGATCATAATGTAATATGAAATTCATTGGAAACACATGAAATTATATTTAAATTTATTTGATTTTGATCAATTATTAATTTCAATTCAAATTGGATCTATAGAAGTAATTTGTATTAGTCACACATTAAACACAGGTAAATATTGTGAAAAGAGAACAACAAGTTTTTTTTTTCTAAAATAATAGATTATTCAACATATCAACGTTGATTTATTGAAATGAATAAACAACACGACATTTTAGTATATAAAATGAATGATGAATTATATTCAAAATCAATGATTAATAATGAAAAACAAACATCAGTTGCTAAACTTGTTAATCAATTATGTTTTTTTTCCAATTAGACATTTGCTCAATGTGTTAATAATTTGATTATCCAACTGTAAGTATGTTTAATGCTTGTTTGAGACTTTTTTTTTTTGTAAAGTTTCAGTTCAGTAAAATACATTTATTTTATAATCCAAAATTATTTCCAATGTTGTAACAGTAGGAGAACTCAGATGAATAGGATAAATCTGATGAAGGAGCTTGTAACAGAGTTTAGTTAACGTGACTTCAATTGGTTATGGTCTCAAAGTTTTAATGAAAGTCATCTGATAGATATGAAGATTTTACTATTGAATTGTTGAAATAAAACGATATGAAATTTTAATCTTTTTGAAACCAACAAAAGACTAGGATATTATCAGACTCGAAAATATATCAAGTAGAACACTTTACTAAATAGGTTAGACATACAAAAGTTTTAAAGTCCAGAGGCTGCATTTACATATGTCAGAGATTGAAATTATACAATCACATGATTACCTCAAATACAAAGTTTGAAGCTAAAGTACGAATTCTGTACATATCTAGTACGAAAGATATGTTCGATTTTTCATTATGATATGAGATCAATTGTATTCTCGAATGAGTTTTTCTTTAATCTTTGAAGATTTCTGATTAAATAAAAATTTTGTAATTGATATGAAATTCTTATCTCTATATGACTTGTAATGCATTAAAATCTATCGAACATCGAGGTAGACGATCTACATTTATGTGATACATATGCAAATTTCTTTCCTTGCTACATTAATTAAAAAGAACAATTCATCTTTTAAGACTATTATCATTATTAAACCCATTTAATAATTCTTTTATTAATGAATATTCACTTGTATCAATTGATTCACAAGATAATTCAAGGTTAGATTAGAATATTAAATCATCTCTCGTTTTTGATAAAAATATTCTTTCCTTTTGTTTTTAAATATATTCAATTAGGTATATTAGCAGAATTACTTTCTACATTTCGATTATGTCTTTAGGATAATAATACACATGTTATACATTTACAATCATAGGAATTGAATTATTAGAAGATTCTACTCAACATAGTACAAGTTCTTATATTTTTGCTAAAGTAGACAAATGAAACTTATGATTACAATAAACTGTTTATGTGTATAAAATAGGTTGCTCTAGCTCAAATTGTGCGTAATATTGATTTTCTTGAATACTAACTTATCTTGAACAACAACAATAACAGATAAAAAAAACAGTAAATTAAAACTAATCACATATAGAAGATAAAAACAATATCTTGTTTTTTTTGTTTTACTTTTATTTTTAGAATCGATCATGACTTGATCATTGTATTGTCATTATCTTTCTATTTCTTACTGATAATGATACAAGTTTTCGTCTAGCAGTTACTTTAACTTTTGCTAAGTATGTCAATTGTAGAGATGTTAGTTAACTAGATAGTTTTATTTTTGAAGTTGAATGCATCAGTCGATTTTATTGTATTAAGTTAGTTACTGGCTACTTTTTGATTTTAAGGTTTGTTGATCACAATTCTTTTTTTTAGTATATTAATGGTCAATACATTATTTACCTAAATGGATCAATTCTTCCTGTCAATGGATGCATAAAATTCATTATTCATTACAACAAACAAATACTTCTGTAATTATATTCAATGATGGAGTGCAATGTGAAACAATATCATGCTTACCAACATTAATATTTGATTGTTTAGCAGTACAAGAAAGAAAAATTGCCTTTCATTCAGAAGACCTAATTTTAATCGATGAAATTTAAAGATGGTCGATTTTTATCAAATACAAGTCAAGAATAGAAGATCATATTTTATGTTAGAAGACCACGACGAACTAAAAAAATTTCATAAAACATAACAGAAGACATATGAGTTCTTTAAAATTTTATGTCGAAAATTCTGCTGACTTTATGAAATTCAGCGCAAGGAAACTTTGTTTTTCAGTTATAACTTTATTTTTGTATAATAGGAAAGAATAAGTATAAATAAAAATAAATGTTTATATTTATAAAATGAAGATAGATGAATTATTTATTTTTGAAAATTAAAGAATAAAGAAAGGTTTGTTCTGTTATAGATAGATAGACAAATACATAGTATAACAACTGAATATGTGAAGCAATATTCTTTCTTGCCATGAATATCACTTCGACATGTCATATTATTAGACAATCAAGTGAGTGCATGGAAAAAAGAATGTATATGCAAAAAAAAAACTCTCTGTATAGTTTATATACATCTATGGTGTTTATTTTTGAAAAAATAAAAAAATTTTTAATCTTTATTTAGAAAATATAAAAAATTTACTGATGTTTTTTTTTATAAATATAAAAATCGTACTTATATTTATTAAATAAAATAAAGTGAAAAAAACGTGATCCTAGTAAAAAAAACAAATATTGTTTTGCAATTAAAATTACTTTCTTCTTTTTTCTAGCACGGGGTTTAGTGACTAAAAGCATCTGAGAATATCATTATTTTATAGAAGATTAAAATCTTGCAAGAGACATATTCAGTTTATAAGTATTATTCTAATCTATTGATGCCCTGCACCCTGTCCTTAGAACAGGACAAGAAAAAAATACTCCGTGACAGTCTCTGATCTGAAACTTGTCTGTGGACAGAATTTTAGATGGAAATTTTATTATTAAGATTTCAGGAAGGGTCTAACCTACAGAAAGAAAATTTCAATATAAAAATGTTACAGTAACAGAAAAACTGATTTTGTAAATAATGACGATCTTAATGAGAATAGTTTATTGTGAAAGTGTCACATATTTTCATTTGGTTCTATCTTGAAATTCGAATATAAATCCAGTTAATTGATGTGAGTGATCTGCAGGATATGTTATCAATTCGAAATTTGGAAATCATTTTTTTTGTATTAACACAACATTCATTTTAAAATATTCTCTCAATGTAATTTTTATTAAATCTTTACTAACTAGGAATCATTTCATTATCGCCTGCTGAAATAAAATCTTCAAATATTTCTTCACAAGTATTAATAAATAATTCTTTAAATAATATTCATAAGATAACTATTCGACAACTGATTATTTATTTTATTTAGTTCAGGTTATGCATCAAGTATCAATAGTGATAAATCCATAGAAAATAGTACAATACGAGAGTAAAATAAACAAAAAAACGAATTTGATCTATTCTGGTGTTTTTTTGTTTTGTATTTTAGTTTTTATTGAACTAAAAAATGAGTCTTAAATAGTATATCAATACAAATGAAAGTGATTTTCAAGTTGCAATATTCGATTTCCTTGTTCAATTACTCTTTTAATTCGTGTTAATTATGATTGATTAGATGCTGATGAATTTTCGTTATATTTTTAATCGTTTTATTTATTTTTTAAACAGCATTTTCTTACTCATATAATCTATTAACTGGAAATGATTGAAGAAACTATGCCAGATTATGATATATCATCACATTTTATTTATAGTATTGCTAAATTCCTTGTTATGTTATCACATGATACACTTCATTCAAAACAAGTTATTCAAGTACAAGATTTAATAAAACATTGTGATTAATTATTAGCAAGCGGATATGAACTTGAAACACATGGTAGGAAGTAAAAACAAAAAAAATATTTTCGAGAAAAATGAGTTATCGCTAAAATTCTTTATTTAGCTTTAGCAGCATTAGTACCAGTTGTATATGATTTATTTCTTGTTGAAACCTTATTTGAACTTGTTCGATATAATAAAGTAATGTGATATTATAAGAAATAGTCCCCATTCGAATAATTAAAATTCCTAAAACGTTTTATTAAATGAGAGTGAACAAAAGATGTTCCTCTATAAGCTCTCAAATATCATAGAAACTCGAAAGTATGTATAGGTGTAATTTCCCTCCTCAATCGAACCCACACCCACAGTTCAACGAATCAATGATCTGAAAATAACTATATTGTTGATGTCGAGAACTCGGCAATATTTGGTGATAACAATCTTCGGTTATGTATTTTATAAAAGATACGATAATAAAAAATTTACAGGAAAACTCGACGTCTTAATTATTGTAAATAAAAGAATCTTTTCATATCGTCTCTACGTACTAAAAAAAAGCAATAATAGAATTGATATTTTTATAAACTTTGCAATTGTTGATAGTGTTCGAAATGAAGGTAATAAACGAAAACGTTTTTCCCGACAAATTGTCGATGTACTTCTTGTTCATCTTACTATTGGTTTATCTAAGGTTATTTTTCTCTTTTTAATAATCTTCGACTATACGTTACTGTTTCTTTTCAAATAGGATCAATCACTTTTGGATATTTATTCAACATAATTAACACTATTTGGTGTTGTATCATCATTTGAATTACGACCAATTGATCCATTTGTTGTTGCTTTTCGAGCATTAACAAATAGAAATGTTGGTTTGTTTTTATCTATGAAATTTTCCTGTTGTTTAAATTTCTTTTTTTAGGACATCAGTCATCAAACTATAAATTGATGGTTAATTGATATAAATATCATTCTTTGATGTTTTGTATCAAATTCAACTAAAGATCCAATATTAACACGATGGAATAATGCTTTATTATCAGTTAATAGAATACGAGATAGTGAGTAAGTATTTGCAATGATTTTATTTATAATTTTAAAAACTACGATTCTTACTTTTGTTTTTAGCGCTCCTCTTCGAATTTTACATGACGTAATATTACGAATTTTCGGACAATAACGTGATCAAATCAATATGACATTAGTTTCTCTGCATATTATGAAAAATGGTAATGAATTAAAATAGTAGTGTATTTGTAGACATGAATATGATAGTTCAGCAATAGGAATATTATTTTTAGCTGAACTTGTCATCTTTGTAACGAGCGCCAGAATGATTGATTTAAAAATTCCGATATGAAACTTTAGAAAAAAGAAACTAACTAAACAGTTAAAAACTAGTTTCTATCAAAGTCAGAAGATCTTAAGCTCTCATCATAATCTATATGATAGTAACATATCACCCATTCATTTGAGAAGAAAACTTTCTTGCATTTCATTAATTACTAATGAGCTAGCGATAAAACATTTGACTTAAAAAATTTCTATGTTTTTATAAGATCTATAATTTTATTTTAGCTAAATAATTTCGAAAAAATTCTAAATGATTTTCGTCAATTATTAGTTCATGATGAAACTGTATATTGTCTTGATATATTTTCATATTTAACCAGTTTAAATGAATATTTTAAATTATTATTATAATGAATACATATTCTGAATATACTTGATTATGCGCACAAGAAGCATGATGATCATCAATATAAACACCATCATCATTAATAACACACTTATTCATAAATGATTAATTACAATCTTATTATGATTTAATACATTATCATAAATTATATTTGGTCTTATACATTATACATCAGTTGCAAGTCATTTATTCATTTGTGAAGGAATACATTTAGATGGAAATGGTTTTCTTATTAGTTTTATTAATTGAATCATTTTTTCTATTATCATATATATTTGTATTATGTTTAACTGAATTAATTGTTTATAATCGTATTGAAATGACGTTGACACTCGATGAATAAATATTAAATAAACAATTATTAACGAAATATTTACCATTAAGTTTTATAAAGCTTTCAGCGCAATCCCTTCCGAGATTAAAGTGTGAAACACGATTCAGCTGCTTTTCCTAATTGCAGGGGAATCTTTTAAATTTATCTATTTCGGAGCACATTTCTAAAATATTGTTTTACCCATTCCTTCAAAACTGGAATCAAAAATTAGTTTATACGTTATAATAAAACGTTTTTGATGCATGGTCTTTGAGCTTATATCAACAGTCTTGTATACTCAATGATTGCTTCTCGGAGTGTTTGTGAACATATTAGACGTGTTAGTCATCGTCTATGAATATTCTATTAGCAACTAATCCTTAATTATGAGGTGAATAATCAGTCCCAAACTAGCCGTTAATTAATTAGCCACTAACCATAATTAATGAGATCTTAATTAGTTATTAACCAACTAATTAATAAAATGTCTGTCACGGTCTGTGATGGTTGCTAAGGTGTCTGTCCCGTCTGTGGGAGGAGCCGGGGAGGGGGGGGGGTCCAAATTTCTATCCTATATACTTCAACACTCCTTTTAGATCGTGTTTCACAAAATCGTAATATCTCAAATGAGACTACAAAGTTGGATCTATACCTATAACAACATGCTCTACCAAGTAGAGTAAATTTCACTGAAATCTAAGATTACGAGTGAGCATAAGTCTTCTGCACGCGTATGATTTTTCGCAAGCAGATTCGAACTGACATTTCGTTTTTATATCCGAATCCGGATAGCAGTACCCGGTATCCTACAAGAGCTAATCGGCAGCGAAAAAAGAGAGATCATCCCAAATTCCACAAAAAAAGCAAGTGATTCAGGATTCATTTGGTATATTTCTGTTTCTAAAATTCGATTAATTTCGCTAAGTATACATGTTCTTGTTGTTGATGACGCCAAAATGTAACGCAGTGCTGACGTCAGACTTGTGAATGCATACATGAATACTTTTTTCATCATGGTAGTTCATGGTTATCATTTTTATAATTTATTTTCCTTTCCTTCTATTCAGTTACTTTGTTATATGGTTTATCACCATGTGTAGATGAATTTCCATTAAAAACAAATTCTTTTAGTAAAAACTATGATCGAATTAATTTTCATTCCTATACTTTTATATAAATAGCAGTTTGAAAAAGTAAAAGTATCTTGAAACGTCGAGATCTCATTTATTGCTGGATCGGCTATCGGATACCCGATTCGGTTGCAGGACACTAGTCAGCATCCCTCTACAATACTAGTTTATGGCTCACATGGAATGGCTGCTATATAGAAATAAATAGTAAAAAGCACAACAGTGATGAAACAGAACTCTCATATCATTACTGTAGTGGTTGAGTAACACAGATATAACTAATTGAGGGTTTAATTTGACTATTATAGAATGAAAAAACTGAAAAATGAGTCATATCAGTATATAGGATAGTTTGGTCTTTTTGAAATAGAATTTTTTACTGATTAGAAATACATTATTGTTGATTGTAAAGATCCATAAAGTAGTAGTTATCGAATCTAGAATAATAAAGAGATCGTGTAGAATTTTAAAGTCTATAAATCGTCTATTTTTCGTTTAATTTTATCCATAACACAATACTGAATAAGTAAATTAACTTTTGAAAAAACCATTGTTGTGCGACAATATTGTGTAACATTATAGAAATCAAAAAAAGAACTATTGAGTTACGAATTTTTTCGAAATATTCTGATTCTTAAAAACAATGTTTGGTCAAAATGCATAAAGA